CCAGATACCGGATATTTTACCCGGCCGAGGAGAACGCAAGACCAGTAAAATGGCTCAAGCAGTCCGAACAAACATCAGTCAAGCGGTAGCTAAAATGGCTGGCAATTGGGACGGATTTAGCCACTGGGGTGTGGAGGGTAAAGACATCTAGAGCTTTGCAGTAAGGCTAAACGAAGACAGAACGTTTAGATGCAACGTACCTTCAGCTGGATAGGCATTATTCGTATTTGTGGCCGAATGAAACCTTGAGCCATACACGAGTTATATTTACTGCGCATCATCAGAGAAAACTTTTGTGTGCAAGATTGCATGATCAGACAGTGTACCGTGGATTAGGAGAGTAGAAACTCAACCTCTTTGGTTGTTATGAGTCTGGACATAGAACCATGTGATGAACAAAGTTAAAAACGCAAGCCAGAGATAAAAATTTGTTTAAAATAATGAGACATATCTCTTGGGTATTGGAGCTGAGGCCTAAACTAAAGAGAAAACAGGAAGAACGAAGGTGGACGTGGAATGAACATAGAGAGTACAGCATTAGTGTTTTGGTGCGAAATTTGCTTTTGATAAATAAAATGCAGATGCATTTGCGGTAGGCGCGCCAACCGTTCAAAAGTGAGTTGGGAGCTGGCAGCTACTAGTCAAAAATCCTCGAGAGAAAGAGGCCGCTTAAATGTGCGCGACGGAAATACGTGAATGTGCTAAGATGGGATAACGGGATATCAGTAAGATTGCGCATCGCAAATGGATTTAAACGCTCTTTTGAGAAGCTTATCCGATGTGAGCTGTTGCCTGGAGGGCGATTTAACTTTCTTAGCAGAATAGTGAAAGCTAAAGACGTTTCAAAAGCCTGTTTCATAGAATAATTTCAGATACGAGAGGGGAGCTTTTGTCAGGCCTGGTTTAGTGTGCTGTCCAGGAGTTGATAAACAAACTTGTTATTGTCATCGTTAGACGATAAAGGATTTTCGTCAAAACATTGTTAGATAGGTCAACTAAAGAAGGCACAAAAGAAGCCAAAAAATTAATCTTGGTTATTATGTGAGACGTCGGAAGAAAGCTCAGGGTGGGCGTCAGTAATGAAAGCACATTGGTAGACCGGCCCCTGAAGAAGCCTTTTTTCAACCTTAATAGTCTCATTCTCATCCATTAGTGATTCAGCTTAACTCGGGTCGCAACGGCGGTCTGACGATACAAACTGCATCGGAAAAGAAGGTTTGCTAAATAAGCACCACACGTTCTCGACATACCTATGACAATCCAGGTGATACCCTGGATGAAACTCGGGGCTAGTCTCTAGAGCGCTTTGCAAACCGTTTAAAGTTTGAAACCAAACGTGCGTCTCAGTGAAATTACAGAAGAATGATACCAGTGAGCTTGAGTGCGTTGATCACTTGGCACCAAGCACGCTTGAGAAAAAGCTAAGAGCACGAGTATTCCCGAAGCACTCTCTCCTAATACTGAAGGGGTAGGAACTGACTGTCCGTTAAGTATGATTGGTCCATGGTGAAGCAGTAATCGATAAGAGAGGACCCGACATCTTGGAAAAGCAGAAAGAATGGAGTTGGAGGACAAGAAAGATGATGTGTTAGGATCATTCTGAATGTTGGATAAATAACAAGCAGGGCCACTGGTCCAGCCGTATGTATGCCGTCTCGACATCGTTAGATAATGGAGAAGGGGAGCCATGAGCATCAAGTCTTTGATGTTACTGATGGCTGGCGAATAAGCCCACTCTGGATAACTTCGTTGATGATAAAGAGTGGTGAGGAGGGAGCAGTGTCCGAAAAACTCGGATGCTCAGGGTGAAGCGAGTAACCAATAACTCTGGGTTGTGGTTTATCACGAGAACACCCTTGTGATTGGTCAAATTTTTCACCTGTGGCTCCCCGGAGTGGACATTAAAGTCTTCATTGCCATGAACCATTTGTAAACTTGCAGCTAATGGAAGTGTTTCGGGGACTGGTGACTGTTTCTCTTACACGTGCTTTCTGTCCTGGTACTGTCCAACTCATGTAATAAACAACAGAACAACCAGTCTGCCCATATGCATCTGATTTAGGTAACCACACCACCACTCTGGTTGCTTATGCCGGCTTTTACCAGATCCCTTGTTTTGTAACATCGTATGTTAACAAACCCAACCCCTGAGCGCGATCCTATTAAGTATAAATCCATCTATATCCTATTCCATTTAATCACTTGTCATCACCCTAATCGCGGCAGACGTCAAGTTTCCTTCTATCTCTATTAATGCATATTATTTCAATCGATGTCTCCTCAAACTCACCGTGATTTACCAAACACATCCAGTCGCCTCATCTTCCTGAGCTTCGAACTTCTGCAGTGCCCGGTTTGGACAATCTGTTTGGCTGTTGTACACTTCACCTGGCCTGTGATCTACAAACACAGGATCCTCAAACAAACCCAAAAACATTGCGATCCCATATCGGCTTTTCTCTGCCATGTTTCCCCGGCCAGCCTGAAATGAATTCAGCTGCCCAATGAATTGCACACCCCAGCCCAATCACCTTAAATGTGACATATGTTACCAGCTGTCCAAAAACCGAAGCATGTAACGCCAATGACGGTACGGCCCTGCCATACCCAGTTTGATAGCGCAATCGCAACTAAAATTTCAAGGTCAGGTGTTGTAGAAAATTTTGTGAATTCTAGCCCATCCATAGGTCTTTAACCAGTTTTTTATACTGGATAACTACTTTGACGGTGGTCTCCAAATTAGCTGCGATCACAAAGGTCAAACAGTTCTCCCTTCTCCAGTAGGCCTAGTCATTGCTAGCCCCGATTCGTCGATCGCGTTTTATCATCATCTACATAGTCGTCCCTGCCAAAGTTCCGGCACTGTCCCACGCTTTCAAAGTCCTAATTAAACTACCATCCGACATAGGTATCTTAGATTGAGTGTGACCCTTGTAATACGATCCATAGTTTTCCTACTACCCTAGAATTCCCTCAACTGTATTCCACGAAAGCAATTATGCCTCAACCTGCCACAAAGTTTCTCATTATGACACTGCACCCACCTTCATCCTCAAAGCGGTTGCTAGACCCTGAAGTCCCGTCAGCTCCCCCCTCAGCATGCTTAAAGTAGCTGCTTAGAGCCGGAAGATCCAGCTCCCACCCCCCTCAGGTTCTGAGACCGGCAAAGACGGTATTTCAAGCAACCTCAGATTGTTCAGTTGTACTAACTGATATATCTTTGCCTCCTCAACCTGGCAACACTTCCTTCTCCGCTACCAGTAGGTCTCGAGATCCCGAATGACCTGGAAAATCTCAGAACACGTGTGCACCAGATGGAGAATAGAATGTCCTCCCTCCGAACCATACAGTCGATTGCATACCTTTTACATCCCGACGCAACATGCAATCCAACCAACTTAGAAAAAGCTTCAATTCTTGACACGCTTGCTTCTGAGATTTATCAACGCATCGAATGCCGGCAATAAATCCTTATATTGAATGCACCTGATAGAATTCCGCATGAGCATACCAAAACTGCCGTCCTGACTGCATGTGGCATGCAGGACACCATATACGCAGCCCGACGGCTCCGGAAGTCGAAACCGTCCATGTGCTGCCCAGTTTCAATGCAATTCTGGGATGAAAAGAGTACCGCGCGTCCGCTAACAGCTTAGCCTCTTCTCTGCTCCACCACAAAATTCCAAACCTTAAAAATTAAGTCCGCCCGTATTCGAATGCAAAGGCAGCTTACCAAAAAGGTACCTCAACATTTTGCCCCAACAACCGCCAGTGCTTCCGTGGACGCTCCCAAGGTATCCCTAAGCTCTGAGTGCTCATTGATTACTCCAATCATTGAATCTACAACAAACCATTCAGTAGCGTCTAGCCTCGTAACCCTACAGAACCCCGAGTCCCCAACTGCCCCTGCAAATGGACTCTGTTTCACCATCCGTAAAAACTGCATTTACCCCCACCAGCCCAGTAGAACTCTCTCCTGGTACTGAAATGACTGACAGGGCACATCCCCCAGCCAAAGCAGTGACTACACCAGACGTTGACAGCACTCGTTCTTATCACCCCATAATTACATGACAAAGACACCTAACCACACGTACCGTGATCTTGGTGAAACCTCACACCCGCATATACCGACTGCCAGCCCAGGCCCTTAAGTGCCTGCACCATCCTACACACCCACTTCCGTCTCAACTGTAGACCATTTTCGGACGAAACCCATCCCCCCAAAACCACCGCCACTTTCTGCACCATACAACTCTCCACATCTCCTACCGATGCCACTGATTCCCCGCTCCTCCCAACCCACAAACGCTCCCAACCTCATACCGGCATTTACGACTATACCCTATCCCATAATAAACTTTATGCTCTACCTTCTCCCGTGGATTCAAACCTACTTCAGCCACCAGTCAGCCCACTGCCCCAGTTGTGTATACACCTCGACCTATTCCGAACACATGCTTGGCCAACTCTACTCCTACCTCCCCTACCCATTTCCCCTAGTACGGAACTCCACCGTAAACGAAGTTGCCAAATCCCTAAATAGTATGGTGTGCTCATCAACGGATCTATCAGTGATGCTGTTTAACCCCCGATCACTGCTGCCAGAAGTCCATACACTCCGTACGATTATTGCTGTTGCGCAACCAAGTCCGATTTGTGTGACAGAAACATGGCTCTCAGTTGAAACTCTAGACACGACAGTCTCAATCCCTGGTTATAATATTCACCGCTCTGACATGAGGAACTAAAGGGGTGAAGGCTGTGCCATCTACTGCAAATCGGAACTTCGTGTAACCCACATTGATGATTCCAGCCTAGAAGGGATTCCAGAGGCTATCTGGATCTCCATAGAACAGACCAAACGACCCGTTTTAGTAGGCTGTATCTATCTAACGCTGCCCCCTTCCCCGCTTCTATAACTGACTTGCTCCGTATCACCTCCACAGCACGCGCCCGTCCTCATTCGTCTAAATTTGTGCCGGGTGATTTTAACCTACCGGATATTTCCTGGTCTCGACGCCAGCGGCTAGAAGCACAATGTATTTTTCTGCAAAACCCCTGCGGCCGAAATAGAAACTTTAACGTCAAAATGTTCACTTCTTTGCATATGTGCGTAGACTGAAAACCCCCCTCATCTGTCGTCATTTTATTACGATTTGTTTTAATCGATGTCATTTGAAAATTATTGGCGCACATTCGGCTTTGAACTTCGTCTGCCATGGCTTCGGAAGTGGCTGCGATCACGCGACTTGCGGCGTCATCCCTATTCTGATTGGTTAAAATCTGTATGGCGGGAACATTAAAAAATGACAACATGGAGGATTTGCGGCTTATGATTGACCCACTCAATCGAAGCAGAAAATTATAATGTGGTTGTATCTTTTAAAAGTTTACATCGTTAACAGATTCGCTAATGTGATGAACGCAAAGATTAATCGATTACCGGTAGTTTAGGATAGCTCGGTTGTAAAAAGTGTTATCTTACATTTTGTTACTAAAGTTATCTGTATCTCCAAAGGAAGATGTTATTTGGGATTACTGGCGGTAGCAAAAAGTAATTGGTCAGAACAGGATGGATTTAGCAGCTGACCCTGGTGTATCGACCGTTTGCACTCAGCATCGTTCACAAGTTATGAAACCGTTATTCGTCCGAATGAAAGAAACAGCCTACGTGCTATTGTCTATGTTCCTGTCAATGAACGCCTTGAAGGCCATGTATCATTGGTATTGTGTTCGGTGACTAAGGCACCCGATTTATTCATTGACTGCCCTAGATGCAATACCCGGTGTGTTCATGGACAGTCCTAACTTTGGTTTATAATGACAAAACAACCGGCGCGTCGTTTGGAGCTTATGGATCAACGATAGCGTCTGTGGTTGAGCTAGAGCTGCAGCTCTGGCGCAACCGGTGGCTAGCGTAACACGCCACCCCTGTTTGCCACCTTTGTGCACCGATGCCCACGGTCGGCGTATTTACCGAGGGGTCACCTATTTTCTATTTCTGATCACCCCTTAACGTGAAGTATCGTTGTGGCATGAAGAAGGGTTTACCAATCATCTGAGCAAACAGAATAGTTTAAGCAATTGTTGACGCATTTAGTGAGCAATGTACGCTAAGCTTGGAACACCACTATTGCCATAAACTTCTGATGCGACTGTTGACGACACCTATCAGCCATACCTAAAGCAACAGCAACTTATGTCACAACTGTGGGTTTTGAACCTTGAAACTCAGTTGTGGCTGGAAATCATTCCTTCCGTTTTCGTTGGCGACTACATACTATGTGACAGCAGACGGTGCGCCCGTCATAGAATCTTCGGACTGAATAATATTTGTCGATTGCGTAACTAGTAACACCGTGACATGAAACACCCATGAAGCCTAATAAGTGTTTCAGGCACAGTTAGGCTGCCGGCCTATTGTAAATAATGCTAGACGCATGTCCTAGGGATTTCGGGACCACCCTGAGGCTATAGACGAAACCGGAAAATTGCGCCCCCTTTTCTCATCTACGCAAGCTGGTCTTCAACTCAAGGCCTGAATGCCCTGGTTGCCGTGACGCTTGCGCTGTCGGGAAGTATGAAACCAATTTTAGGAAAACATAATTTAACTGTGACTGATTGCAAGCACATAACAGAATCATTAAAAATGTGTTCCACAGTTGTGCCTGGAAAGTAAATGGGAGAAGAATTAGTGCAAGGCAACGGAATGGAAACGACCAAAGCCCCGTTCGCCCAGCTTGCGGAACGCATGCATACTAGTTACCACTACTCTACCGCATTGAGGAGGGATTTTACGGAAGAAAAAACCCACTAACCACCTACACCTGCATTAGCACTAGTAGAAAAAACCCACTAACCACCTACACCTGCATGTGGTAGCACTAGTGCTAGGTTGAATCTGCGTGAATTACATCACCATACAAACCACGCAGACGGACGGAAGTAAAAGAACATTCAAACTCCCATCACCACAGACAGCCATGGGTCCAAATGGGCGCAGCGCATCCCGGATACCCTGCAGATCATGTACAGGATAGTTCAAGTGGCGCATTTTGTCGTGCACATCTTCACCGGTCATGTCTGTTCAATAGTTTTTCCGGACATAGTCTCGGATTTCCATGGATGACTTAAAACATCGCAACAATCCCAACACAAACAACAATCAAACGTACGCAGGTCATTCTGTTCGCCCGAGGATACATCCTGTGGACCTACAAGATATTATGCCACATTTAACCATCTTACTTGACAACAATCCACTTTATGAGGTACTCCGCTCAGGAAAATGGGCCGTATCGTCGTTAAAACCGTGCTGGCGGCGTTCCACATGGCGTGGGCACCCGGACCGCAAACGGAGCAAGCGAGAAATGACCATTTGTAGCCCGGCACCAGTTTATATACCATTCTGACTTTGGCCTTCACACACCAGTAGCCCGGTCCAGACGGCAAGTCGCCGACTCTGGAAGTGGATTTCGTTGAGAAATTTGTGGGTGTATCGTTTTCATCCTTCATGGCATTTGAGAAGACATTAAATGAATACACGAAGGATAATTTTGTGATATTTGTGCGTTCATCCAGTAATCGAAGCACCAACACTATTTTGCGTTACGAATGGGTGTACTACAAATGCAGCAGGCGCCCTCCAAGAAAGAAAAAACTGTCAAAGTTTCTGTACGATCGGCTCCCAGTCAATGGACGCCTAACCGAAGACGAGTTGGGCACATGCAAAGC